ACTCCGAATGATGACGGAACGTCATAATCAGTTTTACCTGTGACGTAATGGGTTAACAGTAGGCCCAAAATAGGCCCATGGCACTTAACGTAGTTTTTGAAAATAGGCCCAAAATAGGCCCGAGGCACAAAGAATGTTAAGGAAAAAGACTTGTTTGCAATGATTTTTGAGTTAAAATACATGTACACGTACATTGTTTTCTAGAGATATAATTGTATTTGTGGTTCTCTGTTGTTCGAAATGACATGTTTTTAGTCACCGTCTAAAGACATCTACTGAGAAATTTTGCTATTCTCTTGCAAAATTTTGCAGCAAGGTCTGATCCCACGAAACAAAGATTCTAAATATCTATATGAAATTGTACGTAAAGTAGCTCTACCCAGGGGAATCTGATTTCTGATCAATTTACACAATCTCGTTCCGGTGCACCAAAACTGTGGTTTCTGAATCCATATCTGAATCCATATCATCACTCTCTGTACTACGACGTGTAAACAGTATATATATGCCTTTTTCCCAACACCCCTCACATAAATATATATATATATATATATATATATATATATATATATATATATATATATATATATATATATATATATATATATATATATATATATATATATATATATATATATATATATATATATATATATATATATATTGAAATTATATAGAAATCCACAGTGCTCGGAAAATTATAGGTACAAATTTAAAAAAATGAAACACGAAAACGTTTAGTAAAGCTTTAGCGCTTTCATTTTCAATCTTCAGAAGCTTTACAATAAGTAACATAGCAACATAACGTCATAACGTCATAATAAGCGGGACAGAAATTCTATAGTGACGTCATAGTTAAACAATGCGGGAAATTTGTAGAATGAAAACAATATGTACAATTGTGATTACGATTACGATAAATTGTTAAGTTTAGGTTTGAAAACATGTATAAAATGTTTTTCTTTTTCGCGTCTCTGGATGTCACTTTCATTTGAAAGTTTGTAAAAAGGAAATATAGTAAACTGTTTATTTCCACAGCGATCCAAATGCTCACTTAGAGGGATTTGTCGATATTCCGGTGAGTTAATATGTTGTCTGTGGACACGCACACGGGCGCGGAGCGGGTTGCTTGTTTCCCCGATGTAATACTGGTGGCATCCAGGACATGTAATTACATATATTACATTTTTAGTGTCACAAGACATATTTGCGTTGACTGTAAATTGTCTTCCTTTAAAGTTATAAGTTGATCCTTCTATGATATGTTGGCATGTCCCGCAACGTGCTTCCTCACACTTGGCGACTGCGCAGGTATTTTTAAAATGGGAAGAACACAGGATTCTTCTAAGATTCCTAGGTTAACAACTGGTGGAAAACGGATAATCTGTCAACATTGTCATTCCATAGAATAAAACAATCATCCAGAAATCTTTTCCATTTTGATATTATAGATTCAGCATCTTCCTCTCCCCATAGAGTGGCTAGTTGGTGATGTATCCGTTAACAACTGGTGGAAAACGGATAATCTGTCAACATTGTCATTCCATAGAATAAAACAATCATCCAGAAATCTTTTCCATTTTGATATTATAGATTCAGCATCTTCCTCTCCCCATAGAGTGGCTAGTTGGTGATGTATCCGTTTTCCACCAGTTGTTAAACGGCTTGGATTCTAATATCAGATTTACAATGGAAAGCAGTGATACCAAATTACCTTTTCTTGACGTCCTAGTCATCAAAGAAGATACAAAACTTTCTACGGATATCTATTACAAATCAACTGACACCCACCAGTACCTACATTTTGCTTCCTGTCACCCTCACCATACAAAAACAGCAATCCCTTACAATCTTGCTAGACGTTTATGTGCTATCGTTAGCGATGATAACACTAGAGATATCCGACTAAAAGAGCTCAAGTCGTACCTTATAAAACAGGGATATCCTGAAACCCTCATAGATAACGGTATATTGAAAGCCAAAGGATATACACGATCTGAATTACTGTCTACAAAGAGCAAGGAAAATAAAACGGAAATTATTCCATTTGTGCATACTCACAACCCACGGAATCATAACTTGACCTCTATAATTCACCAACTGAACAACATTCTTAAAGATGACCTATCAACAAAACGAATATATGAAGATGTAGAATTTATCAACAGCAGACGACAACTTAGGAATCTTAGAAGAATCCTGTGTTCTTCCCATTTTAAAAATACCTGCGCAGTCGCCAAGTGTGAGGAAGCACGTTGCGGGACATGCCAACATATCATAGAAGGATCAACTTATAACTTTAACGGAAGACAATTTACAGTCAACGCAAATATGTCTTGTGACACTAAAAATGTAATATATGTAATTACATGTCCTGGATGCCACCAGTATTACATCGGGGAAACAAGCAACCCGCTCCGCGCCCGTGTGCGTGTCCACAGACAACATATTAACTCACCGGAATATCGACAAATCCCTCTAAGTGAGCATTTGGATCTCTGTGGAAATAAACAGTTTACTATATTTCCTTTTTACAAACTTTCAAATGAAAGTGACATCCAGAGACGCGAAAAAGAAAAACATTTTATACATGTTTTCAAACCTAAACTTAACAATTTATCGTAATCGTAATCACAATTGCACATATTGTTTTCATTCTACAAATTTCCCGCATTGTTTAACTATGACGTCACTATAGAATTTGTGTTCCGCTTATTATGACGTTATGACGTTATGTTGCTATGTTACCTATTGTAAAGCTTCTGAAGATTGAAAATGAAAGCGCTAAAGCTTTACTAAACGTTTTCGTGTTTCATTTTTTTAAATTTGTACCTATATATATATATATATATATATATATATATATATATATATATATATATATATATATATATATATATATATATATATATATATACATATATATATATATATATATATATACATATATATATATGCGGCTAGGATAAGGCTGTCCGTAAAATATCAAACTGTTCCAACTATTGTAACTTCTCTGAACTACCTAGATATGACGTCATAATAGCATATGACTTCAAGTCACTGCATACTTTGGAAACGGGGACGGGGAAAGTGTCATAACTTTTAATTCCTTTCACATGACATGTAAAATTTTTTAGCATTGTTGTTTGATTCAAGTGTATAGATTGTTCTTTAAGCATAAGTGTGCTGTTTTGATGTTGAACATTTGTATTTAATATCGTTATTCCTTTAACTTGTCCGATATACATATATTCAAACAATAACAAAAAATGACTGTAAAACGCTCCCCCTTACACGTCCGTGGACAGAGTTAGAATTTATAAATCTTGTATATAGTTGACTGACACAAGTGATCAATACACAGGTACGTTAAGGCTTCCCGGAGAATATGACAGTGTACTCTGTGCCTTCACTTCTCTAAACTACAATATATATGACGTCATAATTGAAAATGACGCCAAGTCACTGTAAACTTGAGCTGTTATGATAGGGAAAGTGTCATAAACTTTACACACTATTTCAATCTACATATAAAGTGTCAGGAAGGTAGTGTAAAATAAACGTGTTTTAATCTTTTTTAAAAATCTTATTTATCCGAATATTTTAGATAACTTTGCTTTATTACTCTTGTTTAAAAGTCAGCGTGTTCAAAATATATACGAAAATATACTTTCGACATTTACCTTTTTTATACCCTTGGATAGAGGTAGAATTTATAATATGTGTATAAAAGAGCTTGGCGCATGTGATTAATGAGGATTTATTTGAGATCTTTTGTGGAAATCTGTAAGAGGAGTTTCCCCTCTAACTGAATCTTGCTTGGGAAAAATGTGTGATGGCTTTGTTTTAATATAGATGACAATATTGAGTGGAAAATACCCTCAAATTTGTCGGTAAGTAAAATTTGTTGTGAAATATTTTGTACCAGAGTAAAAGTATAACTTTTCCCAAGCACATTTCGGGTTCACAAGGATGCGACGAGTTTATTTATGTAACAAAAAGTTTATGATAATTGTGTTAATCACCTGCGCCGAAGCGATTTATGTGAAACACTTCAAAAAAGTAGACATGACCGTCACGTGATCAACGAGGTCATGTGATATCGTAACAAATACGTTTATATATAGCCTAGAGAACTCTCTATATAAATTAGCCGTACTTAAGTACATAACTTACAAATAAAAATAAAAATCGACCTTGCAATGCAGTGTTACTTTAGAACACATTTAAAGCTTCGCGAAGCTTTAACATTGCTGCGTAAAGATAAATTGAAGATATTCTGTGTGAATCTACTAAAGAAGTGTGTCCTCTTACTGCATTTCGCTAGGGGATTGTATGTAATTTATTCTGTTTTGTATAAATTGCGATAAAGTGTGGAAAATGCCCCCTTGTATGTGGGTAAGTTGAATTTCTCGTGGAATATTTTTTCAAGAAGTAAAATTCAGACTTGTCCCCAACACTTTATATGTACCAAAGATCACGATGAATTGACGTATGTGACAATTTTTTCTCAATAATATTGTTTTGCACTTGTGCCAATACGATTTATATGCAACATTTAGGAATTTATAAGTGTCCATCACGTGATCAACAAAGTCATGTGACATCACAAAAATGCATTACTATAATACCTTATTACACTCTATTAACAAGTTGACTGCAAATTCATACATAGATTACAAATCGAAATTAAATTCCAGCTAATATATATATATATATATATATATATATATATATATATATATATATATATATATATATATATATATATATATATACAGTGTATATAGTAAAACTCGGTTAAAACGAAGTCACTGGGACCTGTGAAATTCCTTCGCTCTATCCGTGATTCGTTATATCCGTATAAGGAATTCATGAAATTTATTTACCTGGGGAACCAAGAAAATTTCGCTATATCCGTGAATTCGCAATATCCGTGTTTGTACTAAACGAGTTTTACTGCATATATAATTACATATAAACAAAACAAAACAAACAACTTGAAAATGTGGTTTGTTTTAGAAAGAAAAAATTGTATAATTGATCCCCCAAATATTTTTCTATTTTATTTTACTTAAGAAATAGTGGTATTCAATGAATTCATCATTGTAACGCGAAGATCCACATCCGTCGGCGTATGTTCCGGGTATTTGGTAAAAGTTACTGTTATAATAATGTCTATTTGTTCCGTGTCCAAGCTTTTTCAGGTACGTTTTCAATTACCTTTCCGGCTGCTTCCTTTCAAAAACGATGCTACCATGTACGTGCATGTAATCCTCTTATTCAACTTGACTTTAATGCCAAGCTCAGAGTAATCCATCATTTAACGGCCGCCCTCTCCATAATCCTGGATGTCAGGGTCTCATAGATTTTACCTCCCCAGTGAAAATAGAAATTGGTATCATTTTTTTTTTTTTTTAAATTTTTGAAATGCTGAAATGATAGTAAATTCCACCTTTTAATATCGTTTTCATTTCTTAAGCCCTTATAACAGATGTTCAAAATAGCCCTGTTAATTACCGGTATAAGAAGTTTATATATAGATTCAGGAGACAAGTGTGGGCTACTTTCAATTTGACTACCTTTAAAGTAATCTTCCTCGAACTCCGGTGCTTATCGACTTTATGTCCGTTCAGTTTCAATTACATAATCATATACAAAAACAAAAAAATTATTCTAAAAGGTCAAATGAAGCTTTTATCGACTCTCCAGTTTCCAGAAAGGTACAGACTACAGCAATCTCTGTACGACCAAATGTAAATGACTTTTGAACAACTCTTCTTTTGCCTGTATATGGGGGTACTCTCAGTCTTACTTTTCCAAGTAATGTGCATTGCTCAATAAAATAAGGATCCTTCTCCTCAGAGTAATAAATCCTTGTTTCCGATGTATTGGTAGATCTATTAAACGGAGCCGATTGTTTCGATATCACTTTACCCGTTGATTTAAGAGACGCCCCTTTGGAAACAAGCATGTCAAAAGTCCCTCTACATCTCTCCTTTCCGTCTTCATTTATATACATGTATTTCCTATCCGTAGGATGCTTGTTTGGATCAAATGCAAGATTATGGCTAGTCCCATAAGTGTATCTAAGAATTCTTGAAAAAATTTTAGTAGGATTATATCCATACATAACTGCACCTTTTACGACTGATAAGCCTGGTTGCTCGGGAATTATCAGATTTTGCTCCATGAAACGATTTTTAATGCTAGTCTGAAGAATTGAGCTCTCGGCAAAACCACCCACAAGTAAAATCATTGAAATATTAGGGATTTCTTTAATGATTTCATTCATATAATCGGTAATACCATCAATCGATTTGCGGAAAAAGGTTTGAAATATCTCGCTGTTAATTTTTATTTTGTCCCACATCACAGATACTTCGTCGGTTCCGAACACTTCCGCGGTGTGTTCTGCAAGATTTGGAAATTCGGCTTTAGATATTTCAACTAGGTTAAATGGGATCCTTATAGTTACGTTTCCATGTATTTCAGATTTAGCATCACGCTTTTTTACTTCAAAAGAACGCTCAATATCTAAAAAATCACCCATGTCCCTTAACTGCAACTTCTGTAAGCTTTGTCTGCCAAAGATCTTTTTAAGAAATTCTTTATATTCTTTGTTCACATACATGCCACCAAAAGCTCCACCACTAGCTTTGTATACCTCTTTAACTTCTTCTTTGGATATTTTTTCATGTACACAAAAGTCAGCTGTTCCACCTATTAAATATAAATTGATTAATAATTAAAGAAAATATACTGATTATACATTTTCAACACTGAAATATTGTAATTTAACCCTGAAATGAAATTGATATTTTCACAAGTGAAAAAAACAAAAGTAATATTTTCTCTAGCGAAAATATAGGAATTTCGACAAAATTTAAAAAGAGTGGTTATAAAGAAAATACTCCCCATAGATAGCTAGAGTATACATGTACAAACCATCCCGAAAAGGACTAAAACTGCAAAATTTCTCAAAATTGTTGTTAAAATCCAAATTTTCAATCTTATAATTGAGAAGCTTTGACGTCTCACAACCGCTACGGTATGACATCAAAGTCTACGTAATTCAATTGTGAAAAGAGAGGGGCAAAAGAAAACCGAAGCAAGTGTAATAAACATAAGTTTTATAGTTGGATGTGGACATTATTTCACGAGTGAGACAGAATTTTTTGATATGTTTTCTCGTGCGTAGAACTCGTGGAAATTATTAAAGAATCCTGTCCAACTCGGGAAACAATTTCCACTTTAAATCTCTCTCTCTCTCTCTCTCTCTCTCTCTCTCTCTCTCTGTTACCTACTTAAAACTAAAACTCCTAATATATGTTTCCGTCCGTCATCGTGCATTGTGAGTTGTCCTTTAACATTTGAACATTTTCAGCTTCTTCTCTTGGACAATTGAACCAATTTCAACCAATATTGGCATATAACATGTATAAGTAAACGGGAGCAAAAAATGAATATCAGGGTCCCTGCCCTCTGGACCTGAGGACTGGGGCTTTAACCATCAAAATTAGTGCTTTCTTTTAAAAATCTTCTCCTTTGCTCCTGGACATTAAACTCTTGTCATGACTGTTATAAACATTGAACCCTGTACCAAAATTGTGAAATTCAACTACATGATAAGGATTCTCTATTGACCATTTAATGTGGCGACCCCGCAACTGTTAAATTCTTTAACGCAACAATAAAAAGATTAGCGCTATAGTTCCGCCATAGTTAAAAAAAATAGCATCACGGTAAGATGGTCGTTGATCAAAAAGATAAATTATTTTATAAATTTCAAAATGAACCTCCAAATTATGTACCGGTTTTCAGTTTCTAAGTAAATATTGGTTAACTTTTTCCTAGTACCAAGAGATTTGGTGCCGAGAGAAGCAAGGGATCAAATCAAATGGCGAGGGGGAAAGTTTAACAACATACTTAGTACATGTTTTACACGATTGATTGAATGTTGTTTTACGTCCCATTCGGGAATTTTTCACTCATATAGAGAGGTCACCATATACCGATGAAGGGCTTCAAATTAAGACCTTTAATTGGCGCTCAGGGCCATTGAGCAGTGATGGATCTTTATCGTGCCAACGTCTGACATGACACGGGGCCTCGGTTTTTAAGGTCTCATCCGAAGGACCCACAACTTTCACTTCAACTTGGCACAAGTGCTTGGCAAAGGAACAGTTGCTACCTATTTTTATCGACTTAGGTCAGTCGCGGCCGAGATACGAACTCAAGACCTTCCAATCACGGAGCGAGCGCTCTACCGACTGGGCTACCGTGACGGCTGTTTTACACGAGAAGTTAAACCCTTTATGTTTCTGTCTTTTTCATTACAACTCTAGTTTGTTATTGTTATTTAATAAAAAAAAAAAAAAAAAAAAAAAAAAAAAAAAAAAAATGAATGGTACTATTTTGTACTGGCCCAGGTGTAATATTGATACCCTTAGGGGTATATCTACCTCTCTGCAACAGGTCAGGTGACCGTCCACAGTGAATAATTTTCAAACATAATTAGGTTCATTTCTGCATATTCAAAATCTCTGTATGAAGGTAGGCATGTCCTTTTTAATGGATTTAAGTCAAGAGCTTAGGAGTCTTTTGGACATTAGAGAAGATTTGTTTTTGCATGCACAATGTAGAGAAAGATCTGAAAAACGGTCATATTGCTCCAGAAAAGCTTGGATTGTATCAGCTTATAACAATGACCAGGAATATTCACTACTCGACGTGAAATTCCCTGATATTCTGAAAAATCTCTGACAAATTTTGTTACCCACTGCCTAAGCACTGTATTTTTCAGAGCAAACACTGTACAGGCACTATGCAGAAACCCTGTACCTACTGTAATTCCCAATAAATCATAGTACAAACCCACTGTATTATTCTGTACGTTTCTGTACATCACAGTACGTACCCTTTACTAGTGTACAGCCCAGTACACCACTGTTGCTCACTGTACGCATCCAAGTTTGGCACTGTACATCACAGAAGCGTACAGTACCTAACCTCTATACAGCACATACACTACTGTTGCTTACTGTTCGCATCCCAGTTTGGCACTGAACCGAGCTGTACGCGTTTCAGAGCACTATTGTACTGCTCAGATTCAAACTGAGATGGACATAAATACACTTATTTCTTAATATCCTTTAAATGGCTGATGTTACATTAAAAAACTATTTTTAATGTATGAAATTTCATCATTTTTGTTTTAGTACCGAATAGAATTAATGAAATTTAACTAACTAAGCATTTGGTACTTAATGTAATTAAGATAACAATATAATGATAATATATCCTTAATGTTTTGAATTAACTGATAAGCACATGTTTTTTTAGCACTTAACTACGTTAACATTAACTTTACATTGTCATTTTCCATAGTTCAATAATGCTGTAAACAACCTGATTTAAAACATGGATATAATACTATTATTGCTTAACATCTTTTCTCCGGAAATTAGTATCTCTTTCACATTTATCCTGTCTTCATAACTAAGCTTTTTAACAATGATAAACGAATAAGAAATGCATTGTTTGAATTTAATTGACCAGGGCTTTAACATAAAATAATCAAAAGTAATATTTAAAGAACAGATGAATAGGTATGATTCATATCAAGAAGTTAACCTGTGTACTCAACTAAAATGTACAGTACACAAAACAGGAAACGACTGAAATAAACAGCGGAAATTAGCGAAAGAACAAAAACTAAAGGTGTTAGGACTGAGTGTCCTGACCCACAAGGAAAGATTACACAATGGCAATGATCAATATACTCATAATGACACGTCCCATTTAAAATTTTTTTTTGAATTTATAGAATCCTAAAATCAAATAAAGATTTAAATTGTACATAATGAGACGTTTATTTAAATATCATTTTAATTAGCAATTAAATAATTAGTTTTTAAAGAAAGTGGTTTATGTCGTATATGATTTTCTGTAATAATAGTCTTTCAGGTTTATCCAAAAGAGCTAAAGCCACGAAGGGGCAAATCGGCCTATATTTTTCAGAAAAAAAAATGAAGTAAAGGAGAAAACTAACAATAAATATATTATCCTTAAGTATTGAACTTAAAAAGTTTGTCAATTTTTTATTTGATGACGTCATGATATTTGTACAGAAAACGTCTAAACACGTGCATTTTGGTGCTCTTTAGCGACTTTTATCATTTTTATCAAACATATTTAACATGTTTTATATATGATGTAAAACGTAAAACATATACGGTACCAATTTTGATGCACCAGATGCGCATTTCAACAAATTATGTCTCTTTAGTGATGCTCATGCCGAAACGTTGGACATCCAAAATATTTAAATAAAATTAACGATTTGAAGAGCTGAAAAATGGTGCCAAAGACGAGCCAAATACGTCGAAGGATCAGAGCTATGCACGACGGAGAAAATCCTTAATTTTTCAAATAAATTTCTCAATTTTGCGACAGCAATTATATATATATATATATATATATATATATATATATATATATATATATATATATATATATATATATATATATATATATATATATATATATATATATCCGTATTTTCAAGCAAATAACGAAGCTACTGGACTGTATAGACCCTTGGGGACTAACGGTCCAACAGGAGAGGCCTCGACCCTGGGATCGTAATGTAAATCATATCCAATTTTTATGCACCAAGTGCGCATTTCGACAATTTATTTCCTTTCAATGATGCTCATACAGAAACGTTGGAAATCCAAAATATCAAAATGATGTAAAAAGGGGACGAAAACCAATTGCTCAACGAAACTTGATTGATTTGTTGATTGTATGTTGTTTTACGTCCCATTCGAGAATTTTTCACTCATATAGAGACGTCACCATATACCGGTGAAGTGCTTCAAATTTAGACCTTTACTCGGCACTCAAGACAATTGAGCATTGAGGGATCTTTATCGTGCCAATGGAGGTAACGAACAGTATTCAAGCTCAAAAGTCCATTAAACATTACAAAATAGGAGCAGAGCAAACATGGACTTCAAATACATCAGAGGTGGGGTCAGGTGCCATGGAGGAGTGAGCATCCCATTTATACCTGAAAAGAATATATATATATATATATATATATATATATATATATATATATATATATATATATATATATATATATATATATATATATATATATATATATATATATATATATATCCCCATAGTAAGGGGTCGAGTGGACCACTTGGTCAAGTGTTCTGGTGCTGGACTGTATTTATCTTGCTTTTGGACAACATAGCTTCATCTAACGGGTTTTTTTTAATTATACTTCTATGGGTCCTTTAAAATGTTGTATTATACTTAGGTGACCGTTAAGGCTCTTCTAAATCTCTAAAGCTTTAGGGGGCTTTGTACCTTAAGTCCCGGATCTTACCCTTCATCATATTAGTATTGTTTGTTTTTTATTTAACGTCTCTCTTGCGTTTTTTTTTCACTCATGTGGAGACGCCACCACTTACCGGTGGTAAGATTCAAATTTTTGACCTATACTCGGCACTTAGGGTCATTGAGCAGTGAGGGATCTTTTTCGTGCCACCACTTACTGCAACAGGGGATTATACGGTCTCATCCGAAGAACCGGTCTTCATGTCCCACAGTGGGATTCGAACCCGCGACTTAAGTATCAATTCCTTACTCCCCAACTCTATAGAACCACTGCGCCACGCGGGCGACACATCATATAAGGTAAATTGGCTTAAAATGTTTTGATATTAGACAGTTTTACTTTCTTCTCAGCATTGTTATTCACGAATTTAAATTGTTTTAGGTGTATTTATCTAATGAGAATATTATGCAGCTATATAAAGGTTTCTCGAAGCTTTAAAATGCGCTCAGAACTTAATCTTTATTGCGAGGTCTTTTTTTAATTTATAAGTATTGTACTTATTAGTACTGTCAAATAATATAGAGGTTTCCATCGGCCATATATGAACATACTTGTGTTGATATCACATATCACTTTGTAAATCACGTGACTGTCAGTTATAACTTTTTGAAGTGTTTCACATAAATCGCTTCGGCGCAGCCGATCAACACAATAATTATTAAACTTTTTTAATATAAATAAACTCATCATATCCTTGTGTACCCGAAATGTGCTCGGGAAAAGCCATAGTATAACTTGGGTACAAAATTTTTCGTGAGAAGTTCCAGTTACCGAAAAAATTTTAGGGTATTTTTCACACAATATCGTAATTTGTATTAATACAAAGTCATCACACATTTTTCCCAAACAAGACCCATTTAGATTACAACCTCTTCTTAGGGATAATCTGAGATTAATCGCCAGTTGAGGTCCATTTAAATTGTTCCAATTAGTCCCATTGTTCCAACACAACCTTTTGATGACCACAGAACAACGCGTGCGTTTACAACCAGATCGCAAATAAACAAGTATATTTTAACATCATTGACTTTGTTTTATTTAAAGCCGCAAGCCACCCTGTGACAATTACGTAAGTATCATAAGTGAATAGCAAAGGGGTATAATTTCTCTCAGTGGAATACAAATTAATTCCCCTAAAAGAATAATATATCAACCTGCTCAGCACCAGAACACTTATCAAGTGGTCCACAATTTCACAAGTCTGATAAATCACGCTTGCTCATTTCAACTTTGTACTCTGCTTAACTCTTTGATGCCCAAGAGCAGATAAAAATTTTCAAAGTAATTAGCAATCAATAGAGTCCCGCTCTAGCACCTGAAATCTCTGACCTGGGGCAATGAATTTTCATGATTTACGATTTGGCACCCTTTCTTATCATTTTTAATAAATTATCAATAAAGCAGCACCAGAACCCCTGACCTGGGAGCTGTGAAATTCCTAACTTTAAGATATACACCCTTAATCATATCTTTGCACTTAGTTTGTTAGCTTTCAGCTGTAAAAGGTCTTTGTTCGCCATATTTCTCTTCATCCGACATTATTTGTAGAGCTTCTATACAAGTTGCTCATTTTGTCACGGTTCAATGTCGAATGCTTTTCAGGTTTCAGCTCTGTAGACGTCCCCTTCATTGCCTTTACATGTAATATACCCGGTAGAGATAAAAGCAACTACTGCGTGCTTCTTCCGCGATAGGAGAAAATTGTTACCAAAGAAATATGACATCCGTTGCAAAGTTCAGTGCACTACAAACAAACACAAATACAAGTAAAGTAGAATAAAATAACAGCTAATGTAATTCTATTCTGGTTACCAAAAAACAATCAGGTATAACGAATGCGAGGTCTATATCCCACTGCTGATATCGGAGAGAGGAAAAATACTATAGAGTATGACTACAAGTCACGTTCAGATTTAATTCCAAAAAATAGAATTTTATTCAAAGAAATGATAATTTTAATTGTATAGTCAATAGACCCTACCTGAATACTCCAACCCTGACTGAGGGGCCGTGAAATTAACAATGTTGGAAGGGTGCTCTTGCTCATCATAACCAAGCACTTAGTAAGTTAACCATATGCCTATCGTCAGAAAAGATTTTTAAAGAGATTATTCATGCATTGTCACTAAGTATTCAAATGAGCCCCGTCCTAACATTATAACCCAGGGGTATGAAATCAAAATTTTAGAAGAAGCATCCTTGCTCATCAAAACAATGCACTTAATTTATTGGCTTAATATCCAGGAGCAGAGAAGAAGATTCTCAAAGAAAAAAAAATGCATTTTCTATATAAAATCAATAGAACCCCACTTTAATACCTCAATCCTGATCCATTGGGCATGAAATTCATAATTTTTGGAGAGACACCTGCTCATCAAATCAATGTACTTAGTTTGTTTGCTTAATATTAAGGAGCACAGAAGACTTAAGATGAAAGAAGAATTTTCATTCTAAAATCAATAAAGCCCCCCCCCCCCCCAACACCAGAATCCTTTACCCAGGGGCCAGATAATTCACAATTTTGGAAGGAAACATCCAAGCTTATCAAAACAATGGATTCTGTTTGTTCAATTTGCTTAATAACCAGGGGCAGGGTGAATATTTTCAAAAAAATGCACTGCACATCAACTGTATAATCAAAAAGGTCCTACATTAACACCGAGCACCAGACCCAGGGGCTGTGAAATTCACAATTTTGGAAGACGCATCCTTGCTCACCGTAACTATGCATTTAGTTTATTTGCTTAATAACCAGGAACAGAGAAGATTTTCTATGAATTTATACATTTTTTCTACAGGATTAATAGAGAAGTGTCATCCTTACAGCAGAGCCCATGACTCAAGAAAATACTTCGAGATATCCGAGGATTCGAGATATCCAGGGTAAAATACTTAAGGTAAATAACTTCGACATATCCATAGTATTCGAGATGTCAGTGTTCGAGATACCAAAGTTCAACTATATATATAGGGGTTGGTGCCTTTTTTGTGCGGCACTTTTGTTTGAAATAAAGATAAACGTTATATTTTGTTTGCAATAAAGATTGATGTCATATTTTATCGCATTTTCACTTTTTTGTTTTGTTACAATATTGTGCCTAGGTACAATATTGTGCCTAGGAGACCATCTGGTCAGAAACGGTTCATATGTCCACAAACTTACCTTTTTGCTGGTCTGTCTCCCAGCAAACTTTTTTCTGTATATTTTATTATAATGGCGTACCATTTTTTTGACTAATTGAAATAAATGATTTTTTTTCAAATAAAAACAGAGTTGATGTGTTGCCTTGGATTTAACAGTGAGATTTTAGCATAAATATAATTATACATTTACTCTCCCTTACCTCCTATATCTGCTATTAAGTATCTCGTTCCATTTGGGGCCTCTGTAAAGCCTTCTCCACCTTGTAGCTTTTCGACTGGAAGCCCTGCACAATAGATCGAGGCTGCCTCTGGCTCAAAAGCAAGCATTAGACGATCACCATCTATACCTGCCTTTAAAATTAATAATTGTTTATTACGTACTTCACAACAAATGTAAAATTTGAAATAAAATGATCGTTAATGAATCTAAAATTGAACAAATAAATTTTTGTGTGCAAGCAGAAGTTGACAATTCCTTTCCCTTTGGAAGCTAAAGAGAAAAAAAGAGGCATTAAAAAGATGCACAGTACAAATAGTCTTCAATCGTACGTACGGTTCAGTATTAAAAGAATACGGCTCCTCCTCTATATAACACAGATGTCGCGTCAATTAATATATTAATTATCAAAATATTACCGATCTATGGTATTCTGATGTTGGAAATTTACAATCCAGTGATATATTTTACAACTCCAAAAACAGACAACCTCTGATTCTATTAGCTCATATTATTATTATTAGCGCAAAATTAGCTCATATTAAAAAGGAATCACCGCTAAAATGCCAGTACTTTTTCTAGGCATAATGACGACGTCAAAAATGTACGAACAGACCAAACCTAGATATATATGATTTGCACATGTAGTAAACATCTCTTTTAAAATGATGAACAACATATTTCAGAAAAAAAAGACCTACGTTTCGAATACGGCGGGTTTATTAGAAGGAAACATACCCGAGAACATTTATTAGACTGATATCAATTTTTGCTGAGAAAAAAATGTCGCATTTGATATCGAGTGTTAAGGAAGTGTATTAGTGCCACATTGTGATATTTTTTCTCCATAACATTCCATTTTGGCTTTTCCAACGTTAAAGTTGGCAATCCTAACGTTTAAGTGTGCTTTTCGAACTTTAAAGTTGGTAATTTTAATTTTAATCTTGTCTTTTCTGATCTTAATCCCAGCTTTTCTAACTTCTGAGTTGGTAATTAAAATTCAAAAGACTTTATTTCAACATTTAATTTTTTTTTCAAATTTAAAGTTAGTACATGTAATTCCAGCCATAACCTGATCTTCACAAACTTATATTTTGCCTTTATTTCAGAGTTACTAAGGGAAACCATTTATTTCCATTGTTATTTTAAAGCAACCCCGACGTCTTCAGTACGAAAACTTGTGCTTTATCTTTAAAAGAGCACACATAAAACGCCTTAAATCGAAATAAAAGTTTAAAAAAGATAAATGTTGGAAAAATCAAGATAAAAGTCAAGATTAAAACTTAAAAATTCAACTTATAAGTTAGTTATTCCCACTTTAAAGTTAAAAACTGAACACGATTCGTTAAAGGAAGAGATCTTTGTTTGTCCGCCATATTACTGCATTTTCCGTTACCTGTACGACTGTTCACTGAGTCACAATTCATGTAATCATTTTTCACCAGCTTCGACGGAGGTATGTAAAACTCCTGGAAGCTGCTAAAGTGTGCTTCTTTCACGAAAAAAGAGAAAGTTACCAACGAAACTTACATCAGTTGTACAGGTCAGTTCAGTATAAATATGCAAACACAAATACACGTAAACTGCAATAAAATTTAAACAAAGGTAATATAAGGTAAACAAAGCGACCACGTACCGTCCATTCCATGCAGGTACCAGTAACAAGAAAGTATTCATGTGTAATGAATGCAAAAGGTATACCCCAGTGCTGATATAGGAGAAAGGAAAAATAATATGGCGTGTGCCTATTTACGAGTCGTGTTCAGCTTTAAGTTGAGATGGAGTTACCTACTTTGAAATTGGCAAAGTCGACTTTCAAGTTGGTATTTCCAAATTAATTGTTAGGCCATTATTGAACTGTCTACGGATTTCTCCGTTATTACCCGATCATGACAAGGAGCACACAGCGGGTGTGCCTGGTCGGCAGGGGATGCTCACACCTCCATGGCACATGGTCCCACCTCTAAATTTTGAGGTCCGTGTTTGCTCTGTTTGCTTCAAATTTGTATCGTTTCATTGGACTTTCGAGATTGAATACTGTTCGTTATCTTCATATTTCATCAATCTCCTTAGATTGTTTCGGTATAATAAAATAGTTATGGAATGGGTACTCGAGAAATAGCAAACTTATGGTTCCCCTTGACAGGAAACTTTTTTCCTCGGCGGCTTCGCGCAAATGTATGTTGCACCACCATGTACATAGTGGTTGAAAATGCTTGCAGAGCCAGTCAGATATTGAAAATTGAACACAACAATAGAGCAAAGGGCCTCAACGGTCCCCTGAATATAATACAGCACTGTAAAAAAAGGATCCATAAGAAGTATAAAATAAAATGATATAAACTGAAAGATGAAGATATGTTGCCCAAAAGCAATAGAAATAGAATGATCAGGGATCAGTAAAAAGATAAGTCTAGTATACCGTGACAAAACTTGATGTAAATATAATTACTTGCCTGTACTTGCCCTATATGTCACTATTTTATTTTTTTTTTAAATTTCTTATTCAATTGACCTTTCAATTATTTTTTTTTTTACAGTAATTAATTATTATATGAATAGCAAAGGGAAATAACTTCTCTCAGTAGAATACAAATTTTTAGAGTCCTGCCCAGCACCAGAACACTTTATTTTTTTCTGTTGCATTGCAGTGATTAATAACTTAATGATTGTTTAGCAAAATATATTATTTGTTTATAAATATCAGTAGAAATCTAACAAACGCAGTTGATATATTTTTCTGTAATAGCTGCAACGTTTATTCTCTTACCTACAGAAAAAGAAAGCATTTTATTGTCTAAATATATCTAATGTGGAATGAAGAGTCCATTTCTTACATTGACGGCCGCTTCTCTCATAAATTGTTTTGCTTTGTCATCCCAAATAGCGGGGACTGTCAAAACAAATCGGATATCTTCCAGGCAGATATTTGGTATGCGATCAGTAAGCGTCTTCAAAATGTGTTCTTTGAAAAATCCAATAGAGAGAGAAAATATCCGAATTGCTGGAAGAATTTTGCCATCTATCGCTTCTATCATGGTTCCTCTTGACAAAGTCTGGGAGAAAACAATATAAGAAAAAATGTTTCGTGTGGTATATGTGGTCCCTTCTGAAACTAGTCTCTGTTGAATAAATACATTTTAACTTATTTTTTGTATTTATTTTAAAAACATAAGACTCAAACTTCTCCATAACTATCTTACTAAAATATAAAATGTGAAATTGAAGAAGTTATATTGCGTACCCTGTTTTGATGAAGAATCATTTTGAACTGCTCAAAAAAGTAATAGTCCCCATGTTTTCCATCTTCTGCAAGACTTGCATATTTGTTTTGGGCTTCGTACCCGAAACAGTCAAATGACTTGTCTTCTTTTAAAAGAATACATGTTGGCGTTTTCAGAGAAGCAAGAGTAGAACCACCAGCATACCATGTAGAGGGTGAATAAATATCATTTGGTGTGTCACGTAACGCAAAAGCGTATCCACTATAAGTGGTCCCAAAGTCTATCGCAGAGACAACAAGGAAATCTTCAGGATTTCCGCAGTCAGCCATTCTCTCATTTCAATATAAATGTAAGGCGGGCACTACTAGTATGCAGCAAATGAAATTCAAATGAACATCATTCATATGATTTTAGAAGATTTTCAAAATAGAATATTTTGAGAAATGTAGATTTTGTGTTGTGGTATTATCTGTATTACCCATTTGATAAACTTTTTTCACAATCTCTCAAAAAAGAAAGACCTCGCTTTACCATGTTTTGTCGCTTTCAACCTGCCGTATATGCAAGTAAAACTGAAAACGAAAGTTACTATTTCAAGTTGTTTATATGATTTAAAACATTTTTACAAGGTACCACCTCTTTTGTTTGACATTTAATTACCTTATAAATGTTACAGCGTGATGATGCAAAAATGAAAGTTCATGTGACTCATAATCTATAAATAGAACCACCGAATCTCAGGTGTAGTTAAGACACAGATCAGAAACGTAATGGAAAGAAGCGTGAATTATTATTATTCCTTTTTAAAGAAATTAATTCTTTTGAAGCATATTGCTCAGAGTTGTTGATATTCATAACAAAATACTGAGTTCAATTAATAGATTATATGATACGTTTTTATTCCTTATCGCACGTTGCATACCAGTGTGTATGAAATCATAAGTTTCCATACTCCTTTTGTAGATAATGGCATTTCTATTTATTTATTTGTCTGCTTTTTTATTTATTTATTTATTTATTTATCTTGCATATATTTTTTGTTCAAGTGGATAGAGCTACGTGTATAATATTTGAAAAGTCGGTCAAGAATATCGAGTTAACTACAATTATGTACAATTGCCAATGGCAAAGTCCAACTCATTATTATCCCCTTATGGATTTTTGGGGGTTTTGAATTATTTTTTTAATGCACAATTACTAGTTATTTAACATTATTATACAACTTCTAATTTTTATTCATTATTGTTTTCTCTTCTGTATGACAGGGGAAACGAAGTTAATCATCCTTTGCTATATATAGATAACTATAGGGATTTTTTCTAGTATTTTATTTAAAATCCTATACTGAAACCCGTGAAGTTTCCCTTTTTTAAATTTTGAAGCTAAGGAAAGTTTAAAAGCACCTTCCATTCCTTATTACCCAAGTCGAATATGTCATTCCATCTTGTTTTCTCAGTGGGTTCATTCTCATTATGATTAATTACCATTATCCTAATATTCACGAAAATTTCATGTTTGTTTTTAATTTTGATTGTTTGGTTGATTGAATGTTATTTTACGTCTCGTTCGAGAATTTTTCACTCATATAGAGACGTTTAAATTTTTAAAGAATATCACTAATATAATTGCACTTGTCCATGCATTTATATTATACCTGCAAATTCTAAGAAAATGAGACTAGCATTAGGATATAGATATATAAAAAAAAACCTTATACCTGTTTTCCAACCAATGACAATTTTCTTCTGTCAATTTCTTCTCTGTGTTGTCATTTTTTTTAATATGAAAAACGTGAAATACTTTCCCCCTGATATCCATTAAGATAGTTGGCTTCATTTTTAAGAGATTTTTTTTTTTTTACAAATAGAAATGCATATTACATATTACTTTGATATACAATTGTTCTAGAACCACGCCTCTTTTTCCAACTCTCAAAAAATATTACAACTGTATCAGCAATGAAGGAGTAACTTCAGGAGTATCGTGAAACAACATATACGAGAAGTGGGGTTAAACAAATGCAGATATTTAATAACTCCAAAGAATTTATAGAAAATGTCAAATATACAGCACTCTGAGGTTGATATTAAAATGTTTCTTGAGTTCTTCATCGACAATATGTAGTCTTTGAAGACGAGGTTTTCCAACAACTGTTAGAATTTCCATGCCACTGGATACTAATTGCGCTCCATTTCTTTAAGACCTATGAAGCAGAATGTATTCAAAAAACTTCTACATGAAAAGAAGGTCTCTTTCTGGCCTCCATTTAGATATTTAGATATATCGTTAACGTTTTATCAATTAGCAATATTTATTTTCATTCATACGTTGATCCGATATATCCCATTAAACTTTGAAGAAAAGATTTAATAGAAAAATAATAACTCATAGGTCCAGTGGGCCGGGTGCAGTTTAGTTTAATGTTTATTTTGATTACGGTACTTTCAATGTTCATAATACAGGATGTCAGTATAATTTATAAGCGATTAGTTACTTACTCACTGAAAGAGATCACGGCGTCTAACACATCTGCTTCGTACATTTTATAATTTGCTAGAGAAAGGCATTCATGGCAACTAGCAACTCAACTTTATGACAAACGTGTTGATTTCATCTTTTCTATCATCAACTTCCCTTATTTATGTAGCAATATTGCGTTTACATATTCGTATAAATATCTTTATGTTTGAAATATGAGAAGTCTAAAAGGTGACATAGATGCACACAGTTATTCTATTCATCATTTCACTTATTGTGGAAACATGTTTGGAAGACCAGCAACTTATCTACGCTGGTATTGTGAAAGTCATAATATTCTGTCCACGAAGTCAGAATGAACGGGATATTGATATAATCATTCTTCATGCATTATAATTTATATGCAGTGACAACACCGCGAGCGATAATATATTAATGTATGTATTTCTAGGATTTCTAGGATGTTTATTTAAGATTTCAGGCATAACACATGAATAAACCCCCCCCCCCCACTACTGAGGAAGGGGGGGGGGGGGTACCGGCAATATTCTTTTTATATCAGGCGCTAGCCCAGTATATCGCCCTAATTCTCAAACATTTGTATATTTTTTTTTATCAAGTTTTCATTGGCAAAATGTAAAATACTTGCATTCAGCTCATTCACAGACAGCTTTTGTTTATATAGAAGAAAAAATGTACTTGATACTTATATTACGTATACAGTGTCATATAGGTCTCATAGGCCGGGTGTTTGTAAAATATTTATGCATTTCACTATAATGAATAAATTACTTGCTAGCCTGCATATACATGTACAAAGTGACTCTACGAGGAAAAAAAAATACAAAAACAAAAACAAAGAAAAAAATACATGTAATTCAATTTCACCCGTTTTTAGTGTTGAGGATTGATTTTATCCTAAAAATATAAAAATATGTTGTTTTTTCCCCGGCTTTGATCGGCAAACATGGTGTAAAATGTACGTTCCCTTTGTACTGCAAATTACGCACGCATGTTCAACCTTTCAAGTTTTCGGCTAAGAAATTTACGGTAATTTCTTCTTGCATACCATAACTCTTACAATAGAGATATTAAGCATTTGGCCGTGTGCTTAAACGTGTAGTGTAGACCTAAAAGTGTTTTTACAAGTACGCGTAACTAACATCTTGTTCTTTTTAACAAACTGTACGTGTACAGGTACGTGTAAAATGTTATTTCAACAAGTCACCTTACAATTCCTTTGTATGAAATAGTTCTATGACTCTGATTAAAACAGATACATAGATGTACGTAATAAACTCTCAACATCACAACAAACACCACCTGAAAATATATATTCTATAATTTGAGTTTAAGAAGTACACGTTCTTACCTCATTGTACTTATGAATTTACACGTTGTGTACAACTTGTAGAATTACGCGGTATGCAAAACTGATGACGTAAATTGCAGTAAATTAGGGGATTTCCCTAGCTACAGGTACACGTAGACGTACACGGTCATCTGCTTAACCTCTCTATTTACTCATTTTGACCTTTAGCAGTTTAGTATCACTTTGGACATAAATTATTCCTTGCACTGGGTATTGTATTTATTATGTTTTATTAGTTTGTTCTAAAACATTGCACATAATCACAACAGAATTCAGACCTGTAATCCATGTTTTACGAATAATAGAGAGATTGAGATTTCATATGTGTAAGGGTACGTCTAGTAGGGGAATTCTCTAAATTGCTCGCGTATTACGTCATCAGTGTTACGGATGACTACTTGTCCACACGTTTCTACAACTTGTAGAGTGGCATCTACACGTAAGTGTAAATTTGTAGCTTTTATAATAAAAAAATGTCAATTTACATGTATGTGTGAAAATGTAATTGTTGTACATTATTTAGGATGTATAGTTTCACGAGCACTTATGTCAACCATCTTTTATTTACTGTCTAAAGTCAGAGTGATGTCAAAAATCGACTAAATAGAGAGGTTGAGATTTCATACGTGTACGGGTACGTCTAGTAAGGGAATTCCCTAAATTTCTTGAGTATTACGTCATCAGTTTTGGTGTTGATAAGTTTTCTACACGTTCCTACAACTCGTAAAAAGGCATCTACATGTATGTGTAAACTTGTAGCTTTTTCAATAAAAACTAGTCAATTTATGTGTGAAACTGTTATTGTTGTTAATTATTTAGGATGTTGAGTTTCATGAACACTTATTTTAACCATGTTTTGTTCACTAACTAAAGTCAAACTAATGTCATAAAACTACTAAATAGTTGAAACAGAGACACCGATTACAATCTACACGTTAAAGTTACACGTCATTAAAATCTCAACAGACAAATTACAAAAAACGTGTACGTGTACGTCAAAGTTTGTGCACACGTACAAGTACGCGTACAAGTTTAAAATCTCAACCTCTCTAATAGTTGAAACGGAGACATCGATTGCAATGTACGCTTTCATGTTACATGTACACGGGATTAAAATCTCAACAGACAAATTACAAAAACGTGTACGCGTACGTCAAAGTAAATCTATACACGTACACGTACGCATACAAGTTCAAGATCTCAACCTCTCTAATAACATGTACTGTGTATTAAGGTAGGTCGCGGGTTTGCCTTTGTCATCAATTTTGGTACACAATTTCGACGATTCGAGCGGTTGTTTTGTGCAAATTTGATTATGACGTCAGTTACGTCACAAAGGCGACGTTGCACTGTTTCCCGTTTATTTCTCTGAAAATTACTTTAGCAATAGAACCTACAGCGTCGTGCCAAAAGTATTCGCGGAAAATGGCGGTCGCGGTCTAAGAGTTGTTGCCCTTCGTACAGAAAAATGAATGTTAT